GGGTGGGTGGGGCTATTCCTTGCTTACAAAAGATTCTATAGGAAAAAGTTTGACTTAACCCCACCCACCCACCCGTTCTCTCATTTTTTTGATAAATGACTGAACAGTATTAAGAGTAATCACTGGAATGAAGAGGGGGTGGGTGGGCGGGGCTATTGCTTGCTTACAAAAGATTCTATAGGAAAAAGTTTAACTTAGCCCCGCCCACCCACCCGTTCGCTCTTTTTTTTTTTCTTCAGAAATTAGAAATAAATGTTACAGCTAATGAAGTAATACAACAAAAAAAATAGGAATAACGCTTTTTTTAACAGTCTACGTTTTATTAGTTTCCATTCTCACTTCACCCTGCCCACCAACCCCAATTCCATTTCAATGATTTATTTTTGCCTAGTCCGAATGAAAGGTAGATCTCAATTAAAGAAAGACAAGATCGTTAGAATGAGGACAACGCGTGTAGGCGGGGCTAGTAGTTGCTAAGACAAGACTGATTGTGGCAAACGACATACCCTCTAAGAAAATAGAGCATGGGTGGGCGGGGCTAGTACTTGTTAAGATAAGACTGATTTTGGTAAATGACTAAACAGTATTAAGAGTAATGACTGGAGTGGCGAGGGGGATATGTGGGCGGAGCTATTGCTTGCTTACAAAAGATTCTATAGGAAAAAGTTTGACTTAACCCCACCCACCCACCCGTTTTGTCATTTTTTTGATAAATGACTGAACAGTATTAAGAGCGGGTGGGTGGGCGGGGCTATTGCTTGCTTACAAAAGATTTTATAGGAAAAAGTTTAACTTAGCCCCGCCCACCCACCCGTTCGCTCTTTTTTTTTTTCTTCAGAAATTAGAAATAAATGTTAACAGCAAATGAGTAATACAACAAAAAAAATACGAATAACGCTTTTTCAACAGTCTACGTTATTAAGAGTAATGACTGGAGTGGCGAGGGGGATGGGTGGGCGGGGCTATTGCTTGCTTACAAAAGATTCTATAGGAAAAAGTTTGACATAACCCCACCCACCCACCCGTTTTGTCATTGTTTTGGTAAATGACTGAACAGTATTAAGAGTAATCACTGGAATGAAGAGGGGGTGGGTGGGCGGGGCTATTGCTTGCTTACAAAAGATTCTATAGGAAAAAGTTTGACTTAACCCCACCCACCCACCCGTTCTCTCATCTTTTTGATAAATGACTGAACAGTATTAAGAGTAATCACTGTAATGAAGAGGAGGTGGGTGGGCGGGGCTATTGCTTGCTTACGAAAGATTCTATAGAAAAATTTTGGCTTAACCCCACCCGCCCACCCGTTCTCTCATTTTTTTAGTAAATGACTGAACAGTATTAAGAGTAATCACTGGAATGAAGAGGAGGTGGGTGGGCGGGGCTATTGTTTGCTTACGAAAGATTCTATAGGAAAAGTTTGACTTAACCCCACCCACCCACCCACCCGTTCTCTCATCTTTTTGATAAATGACTGAACAGTATTAAGAGTAATCACTGTAATGAAGAGGAGGTGGGTGGGCGGGGCTATTGCTTGCTTACGAAAGATTCTATAGAAAAATTTTGGCTTAACCCCACCCGCCCACCCGTTCTCTCATTTTTTTAGTAAATGACTGAACAGTATTAAGAGTAATCACTGGAATGAAGAGGAGGTGGGTGGGCGGGGCTATTGCTTGCTTACAATAGATATAGAAAAATTTTGGCTTAAACCCACCCGCCCACCCGTTCTCTCATTTTTTTAGTAAATGACTGAACAGTATTAAGAGTAATCACAGGAGTGAAGAGGAGGCGGGTGGGCGGGGCTATTGCTTGCTTAGAAAAGATTCAATAGGAAAAGTTTGACTTAACCCCACCCACCCACCCGTTCTCTCATTTTTTTTTTTGGTAAATGACTGAATATTATTAAGAGTAATTACTGGAGTGAAGAGCGGTGGGGTGGGCGGGGCTATCGCTTACTTACAAAAGATTCTATAGGAAAAGTTTGATTTAACCCCACCCACCCACCCGTTCTCTCATTTTTTTGGTAAATGACTGAACAGTATTAAGAGTAATTACAGGAATGAAGAGGGGGTGGGTGGGCGGGGCTATTGCTTGCTTACAAAGGATTCTATAGGAAAAGTTTTATTTAATCCCACCCTCCCACCCGTTCTCTCATTTTTTTGGTAAATGACTGAACAGTATTAAGAGTAATTACAGGAATGAAGAGGGGGTGGGTGGGCGGGGCTATTGCTTGCTTACAATGGATTCTATAGGAAAAGTTTTATTTAATCCCACCCTCCCGCCCGTTCTCTCATTTTTTTGGTAAATGACTGAACAGTTTTAAGAGTAATTAGTGCAATGAAGACGGGGTGGGTGGGCGAGGCTAGTGCTTGCTTATAAAAGATTCTATAGGAAAAAATTTAACTTAACTCCACCCACCCACCCGTTTTCTCTTTTTTTTTGGTAAATGACTGAACGGTATTAAGAGTAATCACTGGAATGAAGAGGGGGTGGGTGGGCGGGGCTATTGCTTGCTTACAAAAGATTCTATAGGAAAAAATTTGGCTTAACCCCAGCCACCCACCCGTTCTCTCATTTTTTTGGTAAATGACTGAACAGTTTTAAGAGTAATTAGTGCAATGAAGACGGGGTGGGTGGGCGGGGCTAGTGCTTGCTTATAAAAGATTCTATAGGAAAAAATTTAACTTGGCCCTAACAAAAAAAAAAATACTGTTTTTTATGTTTTTCCGGACACGTGGACATTAATAAAAAACAATGTAATGAATAATGGACTAGAATAAAACTAATAAAAACAATACGATTCACGCTTTTTTTAACAGCCTACGTTCTATTAGTTCCCATCCTTACTTCACAATATAATTCACCACGCCCACCTACCCCGCCTCTATTTCAATTACCCATACTTGTCTAATCCGAATTAAAGGTGGATCTCAATTGAAGACAGATAAAATCGTTCGAATGAGAACAGTGTGTGTGGGCGGGGCTATTACTTGCTAAGTTAAGACTGATTATGGCAAACAACAGACCCTCTAAGAAAATAGAGGGCGGGTGGGCGGGGCTAGTACTTATTAAGTTAACACTGATTTTGGTAAATGGATTAACAATATTAAGAGTAATCACTGAAGTGAATGAGGGTGGGTGGGTGGGCCTATTGCTTGCTTATAAAAGATTCAATGGGAAAAAGTTATGCTTAGCCCCGCCCACTCACCCGTTCTTTCAATTTTTTTCTTCTGAAATAAGAAATAAATCTTATAGCAAATAGTACAACAGAAAATGTTACGATCTGAGCTTTTTTTTAGACTTTTGAACTTTAGTTCTCAGCCCATTCCCACTCTACAGAAAAACAAATAATTAACCCCGCCCACCCACCTTGCCTCCATTTTAGTGATTAATCTTACCGGCTCTGAATAAAAGGTGTAACTCATAGTAGAGGAGTAAGACTCTAGAAAAAGCTAATCTAGCCCCGCCCACCCACCCGTTCGCTCATTTGTTTCTTCTGAAATAAGAAATAAATCTTATAACAAATAAGTAGTAATACAAAAAAATTACAATTAACAACATACTCTCTAAGAAAATAGAGCGCGGGTGGGTGGGGCTAAAACTTGCTAAGATAGAACTGAACAATATTAAGAGTAGTCACTAGAACGAAGAAGGTGGTTGGGCGGGGCTGCTGCTTGCTCATAAAATTAGAAAAAATCTAAATTTACTCCCACGCACCTCTTTTCTCCATTTCACTGACTTATTTTATTTAGTGTAAAATGGAAATTGAAAAATAACAGTATTGCATTACCAAAATTCTCTGGGAAAATTCAGATGACGTCATCCATTTTTGGGGAGCAAAAACAGATATATTTTAATTAACAATTTACCATGCTTGCAATGACTTTACTCCGAAAATTTGGACGTTTCGGATAAAAATTCAACACGGAGTCATAAACTACATGTGTAGGAGTATGTTATTTTATACAATTTGAAACTTATTTACTATGTACAATTTTGAAGCGACGTCATCATTTTTGGAGGGGACGATTAGACAAATTTTGGTTAGATTTTTACCATCTACATGATATTTCTAATATAAAAATAAAATTTGACAACAATCGGCCTAGTACTTTCGGAGATTATCTGCCTAATAAAAATCCGGACGACAAACAGGCGGACAGACAGACAGACGGAAACAGGAGATTACTTCCTTTGTTTACGTTCGGGAAGTAAAAATTCAACAACAAGACGGCCATTCTCATTCGCAGTTCGTTGGGTCAATTATGAATATTGACCTCGCCCATAGTACAGCGTGATCAGTAAGTACGCTTTGAGTTGGCAATAGAATTAACCAATTTCGAGAGAATTTTCTTGCGTTTTTTAAATGCACAGGAAAGTTTGTTTATGACATTTTAATAATAATCGATTACAAATTTTGACGTAAATTAAATGTCACAGCCAACCATGTCAGTTTTGTCAACAGGAAATCGGGTGAAGTGACAGGTATACAAATTTCAGGCAAAATTCGCTGATACCAACTGAAACAATACTTGTTGATCACGCTGTTTTAAGCCCCATAATGAGCAACGTGGTCAATGACCGCGTTCCACCGAAGATCGCCGAATTGCATTCGAATCTTAATTTCTATCGCTTCCTTTACAACGTTTCGACGCTAAAATATATAAAATTTCGAGGTGGGAGCCTTTTTTTATTATTTTCCCCATTTTTGAGTTCATCGTGACTTACAGTAGCTGTATGGGGAAAGGTCGCACATTTCTTCGTTTTTAACATTGTCGAAATCAATTCGTGATCAGTACTGTTGTATGACATTTCATGCTCTCGATCTACCTCATCTGTTGTTTAAACTAAGTAACACAATATTGCTTACGTTCTAGTATTTATCGGTTATCGATTTAAATTCTCGAAACTCGTTCATTTTTACTACACATTTAACTATAAATTATTCTGTAAAGTTCCCGTCGTTGTATCCAAGCCATTAATTTGTTTGTCGTTCTGTTTAGGGTTGAGCGATCGTCCGACCAGGTAATCAAGCCTGTTAACCTGGAAGCTCTGACGAAGTGGGTCGGCGCCATCCCGGACGACGTCGTCAAAGACATGGCGGACATCGCACCGATGCTGTCGGTGCTGGGATACGACCCCTACGCCAACCCGCCTAATTACGGAAAGCCCGACGAAGTCGTCGCCATCAACACAAAAAATATACAGAAGCACAAAGGAGACTGGGACAAGAAAGCCAAAGAATTGTTTAGTAATCGATGGGAAGAAGGCGGAGGCGGCGACACGGCCCTCGACAAAGAACCCAGTGACAGTCCAAACAATACCACGTGATAATACGTATATACAATTAGGTGTTTTCAATTTGATTGTGTATGGACAAGGACCATCGAGTGACTTTGATGTGCGTGAAAGCAGAAAGGCGGAGCTTATTTATATTCGATGTCACTGTGACCAGCCAGTATCAGAACTCTGTTTAATTTATTTACGAATTATTTGTTGACTTGTTTGGTCATCTGGATTATTGATTAGGCGGTACTAACCAAATCTGTTGATTGGATCTTCTGGATTTACTGTTTTAACTAACTTTGTTAAATTTACAAATTTTTTCCAAAGTTTTACTTCGAATAAAAGTATTTTATTACATGGGGACGTTTTATTGCTCAATCCTAATTGTGACGTCACACGACATAAACGAGGTCGTCGCAGATATTTTCCACACAGTTAGTGTAGTTAAATTAAACGCTTTAAAAGCTACATTATCTGATAAATTTTTCATTTTCATACAAATGATTTACAACAAAGATATGTTTGTATTCAGCGCGACTGTAATTTCGGGATAAAATACGGCACCGATAAACATTGTTCCGATTTAATTACTAGTTAATCATATTTTTTGAAATGTCCGTAGATACATGTACACATCGAGCTTTTAATCCTACGTAGTATTGACATGAAAGCTTTATATGTAGAATGTGAAAAAGGCTCATCGGTCAGCAAAATCGATGAATATCGTGTCCAATATTAAACACTGATAGCGGCGCTTTATGTTTACCCGACCAAAGATAAATTATTGCGCATTCTATGCATATATTAAAAAGCAAAGAGATATAAAGTGTCCCACAACATATATAAATTAATCGAATATAGGTTTCGGACTGCAAAAACCCGCATTCTTTTCGCATGAAATAAAAAATTGGTCTAAAGAGTTTAGACAGTACTTCCCTCGCTGTCGGAAACTTGACGACTGCATGCCTATTGTGTTTTTTTTTCTCATTACATTTTTGTAGTGGGAATTTAAAAAAAAATTGTGATGACGTCATCAACATTTTTGCAAGGACACGTATATCAGTAGGGATAGATGTAGTGTAATACTAAGAATAAAATTATTGTATTCCCAAATTTTCGGGAAAATGAATTGGGTCGTTTTGAATATTGATTTCTTATAATCAATAAAATAACGAAACAATTTACTCAGGTATACGGCGCCGGTGTGTAATATCTAGAGAGCGGATTTCTGTCGGGCTAGGCAAGGCCAAACTCGGTACGGCTCGTGCGGGATGCGAATTCATTGCGGTTGCGGACTGCACTTCGTTTATTTGAGATTAGAATAACGCTGTTTCGTTGCACTCTGCTGTTAATTCCCGTTCTCATTTACTTAGTCGTTTGATTAATAAATCGTTAATTATATTTATGGAATTAGTACCGATTAAACGTGACGTAGCCCGACAAAAATCCGCTGTCTGGTAATATGAAAGGCAACTGAAAATCGTTTATGTATAAACATTCTTAATTTAAGATGACAAGCGTAACAGCATACGTGAGAGTCAAACAGAGAAACTGTAAACAAAACGACCATCGGTTTTATTGCTTCGACTTCCGCTTATTATATAAAACATTGGGTTTTATTTTAATTCTTGACGGTGAAATTCACAATTGGTTGATTATAAACATGTCTATTCCACATTCGCGGAACCAAGTGAGCGCATAAAACAAATGCAGGTCTGTAATGTTAAAGTCGATGTAAATAAGCGTGCTACCCTTATGTTTCAACCGAGTTTTTCCTTTAACAAATTTTGTGTCTACCAAATTGGGTTGGTTGGGGTGTAATACTAATAATAAGTGTTGCCTTTAATTTAATCAATAAAATAAATTGACTTCATTAATTTTTTTGAACCACCTCTTAAGAAAATTTAAAAAATATGAATGGAATGATATATCACAAGTACAAACTCATCATATTTTTTGCATTTTAGATAGGATTTATTCAGCAAAATTTAAGGGTGACGTCATCAATTTTTTTAGGAAGGATGAACAAATACATTTTGAACAAAAGTTTACCATGCTTATAATAACTTTAAAATATTCCCAAGATTTCAAAGCATTCGGTTTTGTAATTCCTGAGTAAATCAGTAAAATAAATTTACGCTTTCATTTATTTTCTTGAATCACCCTGTATATGCAAATCCAAAAAATATGAATGGAGTGATAGATCACAAGTACAGACTGATCATATTTTGTACATTTTAGATACGATTTATTCGGCAAATTTTCGAGCTGACGTCATCAAGTTTTTGGAGGGGATAAGCAAATATATTTTGACTAAAAATTTATTATGCTCTTTATAACCTTAAAACATGTGCAAGATGTCAGAGCATTCCGTTTTGTAGTTCCTGATTAAATCAATAAAATATATTTACGCATTCATTAATTTTTTTGAGTCACTCTGTATATGCAAATCCAAAAAATATGAATGGAGTGATAAATGACAAGTACAGGCTCATCATATTTTGTACATTTTAGATATGATTTATTCGGCAAACTTTCGAGCTGACGTCATCAAGTTTTTGGAGGGGATAAGCAAATATATTTTGACTAAACATTTATTATGCTCTTTATGACCTTAAAACATCTGCAAGATTTCAGAGCATTCGGTTTTGTAGTTCCTGATTAAATCAATAAAATATATTTACGCATTCATTAATTTTTTTGAGTCACCTGTATATGCAAATCCAAAAAATATGAATGGAGTCATAGATCACAAGTACAGACTCATCATATTTTGTACATTTTAGATATGATTTATTCCACAAACTTTTGAGCTGACGTCATCAAGTTTTTGGAGGGGATAAGCAAATATTTTTTGACTAAAGATTTATGATGCTCTTTATAGCCTTAAAACATCTGCAACATTTCAAAGCATTCTGGTTAGCAGATTAAAAATTAAATTTCAAAATGTTGTTTTATAATTTTGATTTTTTTTCCAAAAATCTGGACGTTTCGGGTGAAAAGTCGATTCAGAGTTGTAAACTACATGTGTAGGACTATGTTATTTTATACAATTGAAAACCCATTTACTATGAACAATTTTGAAGTGACGTCATCGCATTAGTGGTGGGGATGATTAGACAAATTTTGGTTAGCGTTTTACCATCTACATGATATTCTTAATATAAGTACAAAATTTCACAACAATCGGTCGAGTACTTTCGGAGATTATCTGTCTAATAAAAATCCGGGACGGCAGACGGACAGACAGACGGACGGACAGACGGACAGACAGACGGAAATGGGAGACCTATTTCTTCGTCTTCTAGGGGTCATGAAAGATCGAGAAAACGTAAAAGTAGAGAGTCGGCCGACGGACTCGATTACAATACTTCCTTTGCTTACGCTCGGGAAGTAAAACACTGAAAGAGAGCAATAATTGCTAGGCAGGCACCCGATTTTGTAATTAATTACTCATTACACACAATAATATATTATGAAACGTAAACCAATTTATCATTTATGTATTGACAGTCCGGGCGCACCTGTATATTCGGATTTCAAACTTTTCTAATGAAATTAATGACGTTTTCGACATGAAAGCTCCTCAAAGCACAAAGCTAAAGTAGGAATTTTTGTGTAGCAGCGTCTAATAAATTATACGAAGGATTTCAACTGCCGTTGTATTAATTACGGTAGTAATGAACTAATTAATTTAATAATAACGCTGGATTTGTTCCAATTTTCCAGCGTCTCTTGTCCTTTTCCCTGTAGATTTAGCGCCTCGGGTTTATCCGCCTCTCGCATCAATACCTTTTTTTAATTCGAGGAGACAAAAAAGTTTGTTCGCGTTTTCTCTTCATAATCCGTAAATTTCGTTTTGTTTGAACAAGAGGATTAATTGCACTAATTATGGGATCAAACTTGTTTATTTACGTCTGGGAATTATCGCCGAGACCCTTTTAATTATAAGATGGGGGAAAGTTTTATTTAGTGTTTACTTTAAGCGTAGGAGCGGCGATACTGATGAATTGAAAATTTCATCACAAAGATAAATAAAATCGGAAAAATTCGGGGTTTTGTTAGGGGCGGAAATATCGGGGTGAAGGTATGACACGACTCATTACTCAAAGATGACAGCACAAGGCTTAGATTTAATGAACATAGAGGTAATCTTGACAAGTTTAATACCGGCTGGGTTCAGGCGAATTAATCAAAGCTACTTTTGTATTTTTGCCACATGAAACTCAATCTTGCGTCGTATTTTTATCGCGTCGGATTAAAATTAACTGGAAAATGGAGATTTTCTTTTTCGTCTGAATACGAACTACGGCGACATGCAGAGATTTCGAGATTTCAACACCGAGTCGGAGCGATTGAGAATTAGCATAAAAAGAACAAAGCAAACGAAAATTGTTATTGTTGTTAAGCTGATTTCGTATAATAACCCCAGTCAAACAATACCTTGCTCCAAATTAACCATTCATCTGAAACACGAGTAAGACTGTTACGATTATTTGTCCTTAATTGTATTATTTCGTTTCACCGCTTTTGATCTTCGCACTCGTCTTCCATTTAGAGTTCGTAACATTAATTGAATATCACTTTGACACGAAAGGGGATTATTCACAATTTTGTCGTCAACGTAGTAAAAAATTAGTTTCGTGGGGTATAAAAAACTGCCAGAGTTACAACCGAGAAATGGCTTTTTTATTTCCTGGGTAAGTTTGTTAATATTGAAGAGTTGCGCGTACTTTTTTTTTCATTTCGCCGGGATTGTTAACTTGTTATTAAACTTCGTAAGATGCTTTAAATTTTTTTGTTGTCTAACACGTTTGAATTATTCCTCGCCGATCACACATGGTTGTCATAAAACATTAATTCTTTGTTTTTGCTGTCGCCACTATTTATGAGTGCACATGTGTTAGAGCACCAGCTTGTGCGTGGTTTAACAACTATCATAAATTTTCTTTAATTCTGTGAGAAATTGCTAACAGTAAGTACAGCACCGACTGCGTGATCACACTCTTCAAACGGGTATTTATTCGTCCGGAGTTACAAGCAAAAGTTGAATTAAATGTATGACTTCCTTTAAAAGTGCAAAATGGGCTACACCTTAATTTTGGCCCTTTTTTAACGCTTCATAATTTTTGCGCTTTCTTTTTTTTAATATAACTTTCTCCCAACAGCAGTATGCTTAAAACTTGTTTCAGGTGGAAATTTTTTGTAGAGAAATACAAATTTTGGAATCAAGCTCCGCCTCCCGTTTCACAACGAATACAAAAATTAATCACAATTTAGGAAGAGTGGGTGGGTGGGGCTAATCCATTTTCTTTTTTTTCTAAATACGTAGTCTTCTTTCAACAATAAATTACTTA